CATAGCGAAAACATCGAATAATAATGTTCAAAATGACGTCATCGATGATATTCATCATAATAATTATTATTTAATAATAATAAAACACAATAATAAACAATAGCAACACTAAATAATAATTAATTAACGCAAATAACACTGAAAACATTAACAAAATAAATCTCCAAAATGAAACTCGTGCATCCAGCTAATTGGCACCGAGCCAGCTGAACGCTACCGTAATCCGATTATTCGCTGTAAGATACTTTTTTGAATCTCTTGCAACTAAATTCCAACACCGCACCACTCCTCACCTTACTCCGTATTTTCCTATTTTTTAAATTATTTATTCCACTTTCCTTCCCAAATATGCCCTGATTTCAAATCAGGTCCACTCATAAACCTCAAAAAAACCCAAAATATACTCTCAAAGTTCCAAATCCCCCCCTCCACCCATCTACCTCATCCTATACTCTCTTCTTCAAGCCCTTCAATCCCATCCCGGATAATCCTCATTAACTTAATCCTCCCTCAAAACACCCCACAACCAACATCTGCAAAATCAAAACCACATCATCCACAACAACAACAACTCACCAAATCCCAAAAATACCCTAATGAAAAACAAAAAATTCCACTAAAACCCCACGAAACCAGCGGCAAATCATCAAGAAAACAGGAGAATTCATCATGAAACAGATAAAAAAACACATTCCTTTCATTCAATCCTCACATTTTCTGTTACTTTATGTACTTTTATTCAATTAACTAATCTAATTATCCTCCATCTGCCATCCACCACACCACTGCTGCCTGCCATCGGCTTTCCCAAATCTTATCCAATCCACTCAGTTCATCTCAAATAAGACTCTCCTCTCTCCCTCTCTCTCGCAGACATCTCATACCCATATCACTAAACTAAACAAAAGAAAGCCCCACCTAACCTCACAAGACACAAAGACCCACCGAGAGAACATGCCAAAACAAGAGAGACCAGACAACAAGACACTTGCACTATACACCACCAAATCACCACCACTCCAGTGCTCATCACCCACTAACCAGAGAAACACAGAAAAAATCCGGAGATGAAATAGCACTTAAACTCACGCCCTGAACTGAAGCACTGACTGCACTGAATCATGCATAATAGTGCATCACATCAGCCAGTCCATCTTCTACTGCTATCATGTCAGCCCTATGCGTGCGTGCGTATCGCTTCGCTCTTTAAAGCCTGGCATCGCAACGCAACGCTACGCCTCATCAAGCGTCAGGCGTCAGCGCGCCGGTCCCACCTCTACCGACCGACGTCTCATCTCGTCTCTCTGTCTCCGTCTCCGTCATCCCACCACCTATAGACCAATCCAGCACCCTCCCAAACAGAACGGCCAAATTGTCCCCACTGTCCGGAACTCCAACTCGAACCACCCCACCCCACCCTCCAACCGCCACCGTCGCTCCACTGATTACTTCTAATCAGGCATATCACAGCCCAGCCACAAGCACGTTATGAGCGTGTGCTGTTCGGTGGCGTAATGCCAAATGGCCAGTACCCTCATTGAAACGGTCAATATTAATCTCGACGAGTTCTCCGAATCATTCCTCACCTGTGCCACCTGCCTTTGCACCTACGATCAGGTAACCATCTTACATACTCCCCTTACATATCGGTGCAAATCCTCAAAATTTACTTCAATCCGCAAAAATCCTCCAATTCTTCATCGAATATTCTGCAAAAATTTCTTCAAAATCCATTTTTCTTTAAAATTAATCTTCCATCAACGATACTTCCAACAATAGAGCTTTCCGTTTCTTGTGCCCGTTCCTTGCCCATTAATTCTTCTGCGGGTATTTCGGACCTCCAGCAATACGCCGCTCCCGTAAACCAACGAAATTTTCCAAGTTTCAAAACTAGACCGATCCAAATATCCATAACCAACTTCAAATACCCAACCAACCAGACATCCCGTCACGTTTCAAAGTGGCCATCATTACGTTTCCTTATCCATTATGCACCATCAAAATAGCCAAACACATAATCACACCAGAGGAACCACATATCTTCTCAAATCCCATAACCCAATCACCAAATAAATCCAAA